GGACTATTTCTTCCTCATTCCCAGGATTGAGAACTAGTGAAAAATGGATCTCCAATGATCAAATTTTCGATATCAGCTACAAGTAGAAGTAGAAGGAAAGAAAGAAGGAAGATGGTTTAGCTAATGGAGGCTTCCTATGATACCTTTTTTCTTTTTAAGAGAGAGGGGCTGACTTACAGATGTTGATTAGATTTAAATATGCCTCTCTATAAGGCTAATTGAAATAGAAACAACATTCAAAGAGAGGTGATAGATGTCTATCACTTTAAAAGCAGTATTGTCAGCTAGCCATTTTGAAAGGTTTAGGTGTCTGCCTTTTCATTTGTTTGTATAAATGAGTTCAGTTTTTCTGATTCTAGGATCACGGGAGAGAAACACTAGAGACGTTATCACAGGAAAATGTTAAAGCATTACAGGCATTCACAGTAGTAAAGCTTATTAGGTTTAATTTATAATTAATTTATAGTTGCATGAGAAAATTAATTTTCTAACTCTTTTCGTATTTGGAACCATTTACGTACTATTTGTATAAAGTGAAACATGCCTTGGTTTTGTATGTTTTGGGAAAGTGGATGTATGTAAACTTGAAAACCCCAGATTGTCATAGAGTTTCAAAAGCTTAAAAGTAACTCAGTGATAATTTTGTCTAATCACCTCATTTCATAGATGAAAAAACTTAGGATGAGCAGCATTTAATGACTTGCTGGAATGACAGAAATGCTTTGTCTGTGATCCTTGGCATCTTGTGCATATCTCCATGAGAGCAGTTACCACACAGTATGGCAGTCATCCGTTTCCTTGACCTTCCTTCCCTTACTGCTTCCTTTTCTCTCTTACTTTAGACAATAGTCTATTTACTGAGCATCTTCTATGTACCACATTTTGTGGATATGGGGTGAATGAGCCAACATTCATTACCCTCATGGAGCTCATGTGCATTTTGGGAATACAGAGCAGAAACAAATAGAAGTGTTAAACAGGTGGTAATAAATTAAAGCAGGAAAAGGAGAGAGAATGATGAGGTGCTATTCTAGATTGTCAGATTGGGTGGTCAGGGAAGGCCTCTCAGGTGAATTTTGAGCAGAGACCTGAATGAAGTGAAGTGTACAAGTGATGGATATCTGGGGGAAGAACATTCCAGGCAAAAGGGATAGCAAGTACAAGGCTTTGAGATGGGAACACGCTTGACCTGTTTCAGGAAAAGCAGGAGGCCAAGGTGGCTGGAAAGCAACCAGTGATGGAATGAATGGTATGAAATGAGATGAGAGAGGGAGCCAAGGGACACATAACGTAGGGCTTTGTAAGACTTTGGGTTTTATACTGAGAGTAGTGGGAAGCCTTTGGAGGGTTGAGAGTAGAGGAGAAAGATGAACAGATGAACTAGATTCATGTTTTGGGGGAATTCCTCTAGCTGCAGTATAGTGAATAGACTATGGAAGTAACAGCAAAAGGGAGGTCAAGTAGGAGGCTATTGCAGTAGTCCAGGTGAGAGGTGGTGGTGGCTCACACCAGGGCAGTAGTGATAGACAAAGAGGAAGTGGCCGGATCACAAGGGTGTAACTTCTTAGGAGCAGAGCCTTACGTGATTGATCCTTCACCCCAGGGCTATCCACAGGGCCTGATACTTAGTAGGTAACCAGTTAATTGGGTCGAATGGATAAAACAAATGCACATTTCTTGTCTCTTCACCATACACTTCGTTGCCATTGAAAGATTTTTTAAGAGGTCTTCACAGTGATGTAATCATAACATCACTGGCTATGACCACTCTAGTACCTCTTAACCTGGGTCACCCTGCTTCTTGTTTATCAGTTTAGCCCAAATCAGCTAGTATTTGGCAAGAGAGGCTAAAATTATTCAAGAGAAGATAGTGGCATAGATAACCAAATAGGTAAATGCCCACTTCACAAACCCAAGTTATAATGTAGTAAATCCTTGCATTTAAACAGCATTTTAATTTTATAGCATATGCCATAGCCTTTCTATGCAGAAGTTATTAATGATTTTCCCATTTTATACACTGAGACTCAGAAGTTAAATAATTTGCTTATACAAGGGTACTTCAAAAAGTTCATGGAAAAATGGAATTGAAAGATAATACGAATCTTTCCATGAACTTTTTGAAGTGCCCCTGTAATCATGCAGCCAGCAAGTAGCACATCCTAGAAACCAGATATTACATCTCCAGATTCTTTATTCTTTTTACCATGCTCATTAATTTATTTATCAAACAGTTGTCTATTGAATATATCATGCATTATAATAATGAGGATACTGACATAATTAAGACCCCAGTGCTGACCTTGTAGAAGCATAAGTGGAGGAATCAGGTAAGAAAATCAAAGATTTCAGTAAGGTGTGATAAATGCTATAATAGAATTAAGCAAAGGGTATATTTTGGTTTTATATATATAATTACTAAAATATAAGGTAAAACAAATACTTCTTTCAGTACTCTAGCAGCTGCCTGAGTGTATTCCGTGTTTTCCTATTTTGGAAAATGGACTTGAATTAAAATGTCATGTCACTGTAGTTTATGGTTTATTATTGATAGACATAAAAGTCTATACAGTGACTTCTAAAATCCATAAGATGTCTTATACATCTTTAGAGTTCCAGCTTTCAATATGTTCTTTACTAAGTTCAAAATTGTTACATTTACTTTAGGAAAACTTATTTCTTAATTCTGCCTTTGCAGTAGGACTAGGCTTGATAGTGTTATATGGTTAAAAGAATATGTATGTATTGGAAAATAGAATTTGGTTCCAAGGAATGCCAAAACTTTAGAATTACCCATTTTAGCCAGACCCTGACATTGGGATGTAGGTTATGATAAAGTTGGAAATAATTACACCACAACATTGAGAGGAGGAAAGAGTGGAACTACCATGGACCTCTGAATTAAAAGAGAAACTATTCTTTCTTTTGAGGTCTTCTTTTCTTACATAACTTATTTCTTCTTTTTACAATATGTGTTTGAACAAATGAGAAAGTGCACCTGTCAAAAGACTAACCAGCTGAGAACATTGTCAGCATTAATTTTCTCGTAAGAAATGACTCTCTGAAGCTACTTAGCAGTCTGTAATCTAGATACAAAACTATTGATCTGTGATGGATAGTGCTGGATTTGTTTGTAAGCTTTGACTTAAATTGTCTACTTAATTTCTCTAGGTCATATCAATAGGATTAGGAGAAAGGGTGGTTATATGGTTTGAATAAAAATGGCTATAGAAATTGAGCAAAATAATTGTAAAACATTAATGGTTCACCATCTTAGTGAAGTAAATTAGAAACTAACAAAAATGACAGTCACTTAAACGTTAACATTATCAGAATGTTCAAATAACATTGATTGGTTAATTGAGAGCATTTTTTACAATTGGTTTTTTGTACATAACTTATTTCAAAGTGTGTTTGAAGGTACTGTGAAATAACTGAATTTAACCATATGTATGAGCATCTTAGGCTTTTGTAACATGTGGGCACTCTCTTCCAAGATTGTTTGGCTGCTGACTTCTTTTGCTTTTAATAATTGGCTAAAAATAGTATGAACCATAAAATAGAAAGCTACTTTATTTGGCAATAGCAGAATATTTACAATTTGAATGAAACAGGGGTCTCTTTGCTTGGGTTTTTTTTTTTTTAATGTGTAAAAACTTCATTGAATAAATTAAATTCAAAAGCATGCCATTACTTGCAGCTGTCTATTCTAATGGCCAGTTTTGATGCATAGTACAATTTCTGTTGCTTTATTCCTAGCTATACTGTAAATAAAGTTGTAATGGCAAAAATTGTACTAATTAGCTTTTCCACAGTTTTGAACAACAAAACCTAACTTGAAAATTATGAATTAAGATTTCTGTCAATACTACAAACAGTAATGATACTCTTGGTTTTTTATTTTATAGCTAATAAAAATTTAGATGAATCAAGTTTCTCCCCCTTTTCAGGACAAGTCTAGGCCATATTTTCTATGCTAAATTAGAAGTTGTTTCTCCAATCATTTCAATCAATGAACATTCATTAAGCCTTTGTTAAAAGCTACTAAGAAGTAGCCAAACTACTGTTAAAGTTTATTTCTTCTTCCTGCTCACATTACTAGGAATGAGTTTCCCAAAAGGTAGATAGCAGGAGGGAAAAGAAAAATAATTTGGGGCCAGCCCGGTGGCGCACTGCTACAGTGCGCCACTTGGGAAGTGCGGTGGCGCTCCCGCCGAGGGGTCGGATCCCACATACAGACCGGCCACTCACTGGCTGAGCAAGGTGCGGGAGCAACACCGAGGGTTGCGATCCCGTTGCCGGTCCCGGTCCGGTCCGGGCGCGACACTGAGGGTTGCGATCCGTTGCTGGCCACGAAAAAAGACAAAAAAAAAAAAAAAAGGAAAAATAATTCTGGAAAGTGCACATCAGAATAATCAGTTTAAATAAAGAACAGTTTAGACCTTAAACTGAATCTTACCATTTGAAATACCTACTTGTTTATGGGCAAAAGAGCCAGGTCTCTCTCTTTGTAGATGTCATCTGTAGATAGTATTCAGAGACTGAGTGAGCGAGAGACCCAAAATTCAACTTGGGTAGCAAACCCCTCTGGCTGTTCCTGTGCTGGTCAGGGTCCCGTTAAAACTTTTTTGTATACTTTCTATTACTGAATAGGTTTCTTAGGAGAAGAATAAAAGCATGGGAATAATAAAATTCATATTTCAAATTCCCATGTCTATCATGCTATGCTTACACAAAAATGTTTAAGAAAAATAGAAGATATGAGGATGACTGAATTCGTATGTTCCTTCTGGTTTGTGATTCACATGTATAATATTTGGTTACTGAAGTAATTTCTACAATTCCTATAGAAATTTAGAGTATCCTACACATGCCTGGCATAAATACAGTTTGGAGACAAGATGTTTTCATTTGGTTTTGGAATTTTTTCTAATTTTACTATTTAAAAATTTTAAGAAATGTATCCTTTGCCTCTATCTGTTTACCCCCAAATGATTCAGGTGTAGGAGCTGCTCGGTCTGGGAACCTCACGTTTATGGTGGGAGGAGTTGAAGATGAGTTTGCTGCTGCCCAGGAGTTGCTGGGGTGCATGGGCTCCAATGTGGTGTATTGTGGACCTGTTGGAACTGGGCAGGTAACATTTTCACATGAATGACCTTGACTCAGTGATGTAAAATGGACTAATGTTCCTTTCTCTTTCCTGACCACATTCTTATTCCTCTCTACTCTGTCCAATCTATGGATTCTTTGTTCAGGTTTTCTTTAATTAATTTGGAATAAATTAGTTTTCTATAATTCCTGGTGAGCTTAAGCAAGTTTACTTATTAAAAAAGGATATCAAAAGTTCCATCATTAGGATCTTGACATGTCATTCCAGTTACTACTGGAATCATCTTTAAAACTGCTTCTATTTGAAGTGCTTATGTTGTTTGAATTGCTATTATCCTCCATTTAATTTTGTAATTACTTGCTATGGCTCTATTTGTAGTATAATCAGGTAGAAGTCACCTGTGCAGTTTAATCTTTTTCTTGAAAAGTAAATAATTTTTATTTAGAAATGTGAGAAATAGGAGGTGATTGACAGTATTAAACTCTGAAGTCAAAACCAGTTGCCTCCGTCTCCCAACACATGCTCACTCTCCTTTTAAAGCTTTTGTCCTGCTTGCTAGGACCCTCTTTATCTCATTCAAGACTTTGGTATTATCTTAGATATACTTCTTGTCTCTGTACTCTTGTCCAGTCAGTCTCCAAGCTCTGTTTATTTTGGCTTCAGTGACTGTAATTGTTGACCATCTTGTCCATTCCACACATTACCTGGTCCAGTCTTTCTTTCATTATCTCACACCTACTTTACTGCTCAGAGGGTCTAATGGGTCTCTGGTTGCCGAATTACCACTCTGCTCAACACGATAACCAAAACCAACTCCATCAGGTTACTTGTTTCATCATACTATTTCCCCATTTAGAAACTTTAAATAGATTCCTATTTCCTACCATGTCAAATTTTAACTCTCCACCTAACTTTCATCGCTCTTTTCTTTTTTTAAGCATTTAAACAATTTATTATTCAAATTAAGAGATTATACCTTTTGTTTTGATAATGGTCATTGTCTTAAAAATGTCACTCAGTCTCCCACATTTAAAAGTATAATGCGAATTATGGTCAGTTAACGATGACAGCCCACAGAGCCTCTAGTGACAGTAAAATACTAGCCATAGAAGAATGAATAAGGATTTAGATTCCTTCTTCCCCAGCATCAGCAAAGGATCACTCTGCTTCCATAGCTGACACTTTGAAAATCTTTGTTTTTAGAGAGTCAAAACACCCAGCAACTAGTCAGGACCTGGTAAATGATAAAGTGCCTTATTATGAGAATCACCAAACGCTTTTCCTCCCTGGACATGCATCAGGGACTGAACTCATCTTTGTATCAAAGCAGCACCACTAAGCAGAGGGTGCCAAAGCATGGCGAGTTACCCCAAAATATCCAGGAAGACTGGTACAGCCCAGGGGAGAGGAGGGCGAGTGGATCATGGAAAGACTCAGCCATGGCAGGCATCAGAGACAAAGACACGGCCTGCCACTTTGGTTCAGATGACTTTAATAGCTGCTACAGTGTCTGTTCTCCCCCAAGTCATCATGTATTGAAGGCAACATATATGCCGTAGGAGCTGGGCAGACCCTTGCTCTCTACCTCTCCCGAAAGCTCTCCAGGCTCAAAGCAGAGACAGAAACAGAACAACAGATGAAGTCCCCACCTCACATCCACACATAGTGATACGCAGACCCTCATGATGGAGGTCCCTGGTATACTGAAAATAAGCATACTTGACCCATGTGGAGGGAAAGGGTTTAAAAAGCACAAATAAGATATTACCATCATTATCTGTTTTCCACACCTAACCACTTTGGGAAATGGCAGCAGGAAAAGAATTGTTAGGTTTTTTTTTTTCCTTTTTGTCTTTTTTACTGACCGGCAATGGGATCACAACCCTTGGTGTTGCGCCCGCACCGCGCTCAGCCAGTGAGCGGGAACCGGTCTCCACATGGGATCCGAACCCTCGGCAGGAGCGCCGCCACACTCCCAAGCAGCACACTCTCCAGTGCGCCACCGGGCCGGCCCGAATTGTTAGTTTTAACAATTAGACTTTTAAACAGTTCAGGCACAGGAGAAGCAGCGGGCCCCCTGAAAGTAAGTGTCTCAATCTCTCAGACCCTGTATCTCTGCAGACTGTGCAGCCCAGTCTGAACCCATTAAACAGGTGACACCAACTCAGGAAGGAACTCCAGTTTGATCAGCAAAGCCAAAGCTCCATCTTTCGTTAATTTCACCAAGTTGTTGCTAATCTAAAAACTGTGCTATTCTTGGCAAAATTACTAAATTAGCCACGTGGTTCATAACATTTGTATTTTAAGTTATTTGAAAGGCAGTGTCCATCTAAATAAGTGACACATCATAGTAAAAATCATTTGAAAAATGAAGGAAGGCCCAAAAGAAGGAGGAGTGTAGGAGAGCCGTGGGTGTCCAGCCTGTGCATCCTCACGGTTCCTCGCAGGTGTGGAGGAGGTGCTGCTGATGAAGGAGGCACTGAGTCCTCTGGAGAGGATCAGATTCAACATCAGTTTCAGCTCAGCTGAGCTCAAAGCCAGAGCACATCCAATAGCACATACCAGTTTACCTCGCACAGGTGTCTCATCATAAAATTCAGGGAGCTACAGCAGGTTCATGCAGGTGCCAGCTGTGGGGAGCTGCTCGAGGTCAAGCCTCTGTTAATGCAAAATACAGGGTACAATTCCTTAACCCCCAAGAGAGGAGCCGAGAGCAGCTTGTTACAAACTTGGGAAATTTGCATTTTTCTTCATCAGCAAAACCTGCAGCTTTCCAGAAGATTTTAATGACAGGATGATTAGGAGAATAGCCTACTGAATAGTTTGTAAAGGATTTTAGGTCCTCTAGAATTGTGGGAACTTGTGCACCAGAAATTAATACCTGAATGTCTTGCCAATCAAATATTCAGAGGCTTCAAGGCTGACAGTGCTGGCCAGGCACTGACTGAAAGTCAGGCAGTGCTGGCAGATCTGCTTGTTCAGTCTGTAGGTGGCTATGAGGTGGATATACACAATCAGTTGGCACTGGTGACAGGGATATCTTTTCCACCAAATTTCAGTTCAACTACCTGTGCCTCTCCCAGGTCATTATTCACCACAGTGAAGTTCAGCCCAAGGTCTAACATGTCATCTTCATAGCTCTTGAGAAACAAGAAATTCTTATATACTTCAGGATCTAAGGAGACTAGGTGATGAATGTCCACATCTGCACTAGTCCCAAGCAACTGAGAAAGGAAAAAGCCTGCAAATGTCAAGTTCCACCAGCATATTTTCAGAGAGCTTTTCCAAGCATTCTGCCTAGGAAGTAGTAATGTCTGACAAGAGTCTCCCACAAACACCTGAGTAGCTGGGTTGGGTACAGAAGCCCTTCACTAGTAGTCTTAAAAAAAACCCTGGTTGGGGTTAAATCATGATTTTAGTAGTTCATGTAAAGACTCTCTGAAGATACCATCACCATCAATGCCACGTAGCTCTTAAGTAGCTCTTGACTCAGTCTTAACGAGTTTTTCGCCATTCCTTAGAATGTATGCACATGAGTCAATTTTCTTACTGTTTCCAGGAGCATCTGTGCACTTATATTTAATCCCTTTTTAATTTTTTTATTTATTTATTTTTTTCACGGTTGACATCCCTTTTATTAGCACCAGTCACAGAAATCTGAACATAATGTTTTGGAAAGGTCATAAATAACAGTAATGTAGTTTTCCCCTGGTTTCAAATCCCAATTTCCAAATTTGACATCAGAACTTTATTATTATTTTTTTTTTGTCACTCATCTTTGTTATTTTTATTTTTATTTTTTTATTTTATTTATTTTTATATTTTTTTTAAAATTTACCTTTTTCCCTAATATCCTCCTTTCTCTTTCTTACCTGTTTAAATCTTGCCTTGGCCTGAGAGATCGTTTCAGGTTCTACTTCCTCTCTGTTCTTGCCTTCAGTGATCTTGTTTCTCTGAACTCCTATGGTCTCTGTAGCCTGTACCATATAATATACTGCTAACTTGTTTTTGTCTGTTTGTTGCCTTTTTATGTTGTGTATTACTCCCATTTCCCAATTAGAATGTAAGCCCCCTTCCTTAAAGAGCAGTCATGTTACGTAGATCATTATTCCCTGTAGAGCTGAGCCCACAGTAGGAGTGCAGTCACCACTGTGGGTTTATTACCTAGTGGAAGAGAACCCAAGTCTGCCCTGGGATAGCGTGTTTGGCTCAGAGGGAGGCATGCTGCACTGTGTTCCCTTCCCCACTTGAGAGAATCAACAGTTGAGTGCTACAGGGGTACTTCAAAAAGTTCATGGAAAAAGTGGAATTGAAAGATACTATGGGCCTTTTTTCCATGAACTTTGTGAAGACTCCTCATATTTCTTTTAGAAAGAAACCTATGGAATTGGGCAAAGAAGAACTTCCTGTTAGTTATAACTTGAAAATAAAGACATTTAATATGTACTCAATTTAAATTATTTTCAGGCTGCAAAGATCTGCAACAACATGCTGTTAGCTGTTAGTATGATTGGAACTGCTGAAGCTATGAATCTTGGAATCAGGTTTGTTGAATAGTACATTTTCACATCCTAACAATTTTTACGGGCTTTCCTATTTGATTTTCTGATGTTAAAAAAAATGGTGTTCATGAGAGAGAAGCGAGTTGATCCAGGAACATTTTGAAAGCACTTCATGATTGAAATTTAATAGACTTTTCTTATTGGACGAGCAGTAGGACCCTGGAGAGCATGAATACTCTTATACCGTAGCTATAAAATGTATTGTGCTATGCATTTGAAGTTATATTATCCTTTTTATATGGGAGCCCATTTTTTCTATTATGTTGAAATGCAAGAAACACTTTTACTATAAAATTTAAACATACTTTGGCAATGTCAGGACAAATTTGTATAAAACACGATTTTAATGTATAGTGAATTCAAGTGTTATGATACCATGTGTCTAGTTTAATGTACCTATTTCAAATATAGTTCCTAAAATCTGCACTAAAAGGGTACTTAGTGGTTCGTTCTCAGGATAAACTGTATAGCGTTCATAAAGCTGCAGTTTATATACGTGTAACTCTTTCATTTTAACTTGCCTGTGGTTGAGGTACTTTGCATTAGTATACCTTTTTCTATTAAAATAAAATGGCATTCATATTTTGCTTGAAGTGATTCACGAGTTCTGTTTTTCCTGTGGGTGGTCATCCTATAGAATGCTTAAAGTTAGGGCTGGCCAGTTAGCTCAGTCAATTAGAGCACGGTGTTATGACACCAAGGTCTAGGGTTCAGATCCCTGTACTGGCCAGCCACCCACCTCCAACCCCCACCCGCCAAAAATAACCCCCAAAACAAAAACAAAGGAATGCTTAAGGTTAATGTCTTAATTTTAGCCTTTAGTCTTTTGGGTTACAAATGCTACATAAGATTAAACACCTAATTCATATTTTGAATGTTTTATATTTCATGAAAATAATAAATATACATTTCTTTAGAAAATGCTTACCGAGAAAGATGCTTTATTTAGATTTTTTTTTCACATTCCCCCAAACTGCTTACCAAATATATCACAAAACGGATAGGTAGTGTTTCACATCACAGCTTTTGATAAAAGCAATAGAAGGAGCCAAAGTGCCTGAGATATTTTTTAAAACATGGTAATGGGTTCACATTTCCTCTTAATTACCATATCAAGATGCTGTTGTTTTATTGAATTGCCCTTGTCTCAGATGTTAAACTATCTTGACCTATTAAGTTGTCATGTTGTAATTGAGATAAAAGAGGAATTTGCTTTGCATCAGTGCTAATTGGTTTATCAATATCCTGTACCATTTACATTTTAAAACTGAATGTCTATAAGATGGTAAGGCATATCTGTATAAAGCCTTAGTAAACTTGGTAGTATATAGGGAGCTGTATTGTGGCCAGTTTTAGGTCAGTTTTAGTTTTGGATCATTTTTTCATTTATCATAATTGAAATACTGGTAGCAGTAACTTGTTTTCATTTCCATTCTCTAGACTAATTTCATGAAAGAAGAAAATGTAAATTTCTAGAATGCAAATTGCATCCAGAATCAATTGGTGTTGACAAGAAGATTAGTATGCATATTCATCTTTAGGATTTTATTTTTATTTTTCTAGATATAAATGAATATGTCATAAAAAGAAAAAGCCTACGTGAACCTAGATTATGCTATACTAAAATTTTCCCCTATCTATCAGTTTGTTCTATAGTCCTTACCCTGAGCATCACTGTATCAGAAAGTTCGTTGGTCATAGTGATGCATCCTTTGGTATTCCTTGAATAATTTTCCTGTCAAAACTCTTATTAGATGATCATTTGCCCTTCTAAAATGAAGCTTTGTATAGAGCGTTTGTGGAAGTTCTACTTTGAACACCAGCTAATAAAGAATAGTAGGAAAACCAATCAGATAAAAGGTACATAATGAACTGAAAACCACTGACTACTTATAGTGAGTTTGTTTTGAAAGAGAAAATGAAAAGTGATAAAATTCCAAATAGAAACTTCAAAAGCAGAAGCAATAAATAGAGTTTCTCTTATTTTTGGCCTGGATCTATTACAATAAAAACAATATTTAGAAGTCTGAAACTTTTAAATGTTTAATTTTTCTAAAACTCTACATATATACTGATATATGTATTATAAAATATATTTTAAAAGTCTGAATGTGAGGCAGAAACTCACTAGTTTTATGTAACTGTTAAAATAATGTATAAGTTTCTATTGTTTCAGATTGTATTAATGAATTGTTTATTTTCATAACATTAGGATTTTATCACTTTATCTTAGAAAGATTCTCAGCGGTTTGAAAGCCCTAAAATGAGTGCTTCTGCTATTGTCTTATCTCTGAGGTTTACAGACATGGTTTAAAATGACAGGATTGTTCTCTAATAGAGTGTAGAGAGTGGCCACAATTTATTGAGCTTTGCAAGGTGAAAGAGAAAATTGGAATCAGCAGGCATAAATTCCCAAGTAGTAAATTCCCACAAAGTAGTATAGCATCAAAGAGGTTCAGCCGCAACTATATTCTGTTCACTCTGAAGTGAAATTTTTTTAGATGTCAACATTTACAAATTGACTCACCTAGTCCTATGAATAGGCATAAATTCCCAAGTAGTAAATTCCCACAAAGTAGTATAGCATCAAAGAGGTTCAGCCGCAACTATATTCTGTTTACTCTGAAGTGAAATTTTTTTAGATGTCAACATTTACAAATTGACTCACCTAGTCCTATGAAGTGATTATTTCTGATTAATTTAATTCTCATGTTAGTGTTTTTTCTGGAATACTGTTCCCACTTTTTTTTAAATAGGAGAATAAAATCTTACATTTTAAAGTTCTTATTGACCCTGTGCTCTTTTACAGTTAGTCTTTATGGTGATTTGTGAAATTTTAAAATGTTGTAAAAAAAAGTAAAGAGTGAAAAATATTGGTATACAATATGTTTTGAGATTGTTTTTTAATAGACCTTTTTACTTTCTAATTGGGTCCTAGTTAGGACTCAGAAACATAATTTTATGGCCCTGAAAGTGCCCTATTTGTATTAGAGATGTTTTGTTCCTGTGTATCCCATAGAAACAACATTGATACTGTGAATTTTGTTGTTTCGTTTTTTATTTTTGCTTCATTGGAAATTGTTTTGTTGTTGTTGTTGTTTTAAATATTGGTGGTATAACAAGTTATTTGCATTCCAACCAAGGCCCAGGCCCCTCCAGCAGTCACCATATTGTCTTGCACCAAAAGATGCTTAAAACAGTTAAACTTCTGAAAGGCTGTTCAAGATGAGAACTTTCCCACAAGCATAGTTTTAGTTCCTTGTTTACTGCCCTTAAAAGATGTTGCCTTTTCATTTACGTGATGACTGAAGCCTGTTAGTTGTATACCCTAATAATCATAACAAATGGCAAAAGGTTTATAATAAAAGTTTGACCAGATTTCTTAATAAACTGATAAAATGCCGTCATATTGGCTGGTTAACTGTTAAGTTCACCACCCGCATGACCTACTGAGATTCATGGTGGTTAGAGTTTGGGTGTCCATCTAGGTCTGCAGCTCAACTGTACCACAGCCTTAAGTTTTTATCATTTCTAAAATGACAAAAATAATAGTATCTATCCACCAAATTGTTGTGAAGATTAAATGAGTTTATCCATGTAAATCTTTTAAAACAGTTCCTGGCACATAGTAGATACTCAGTATGTGGTAGTTATTGATATTTGTGGTTGTCGTGAGATGTGGTTAGTATTTGAATTGAATTGTACCTTAATGTTTTTTCTTCATAACACTTCTCACTTGCTGCCACTGTATATTTATTTGTTTGTTTAATACCTGTCTTCTGATCTAGAATGTAAGTTCCATGAAGGGGAATGGCTTTGTCTACTCGTTGCTTTATCTTAAGAGCACTCCTGGCATATAGTAGGCACTCAGTGAAGTCTTGTCAAATGAGGGGGGGCAGTGAGCGTGCAGAGTGAGTGGATAGGATATGGCGCTTCTCCTGCCTCTGGTCAAAGTTGTCTGGGTGGAGGTGTCTCCTCTTAGCTTCTTTATTATTGTTTCCCTGGCTCTGCATAGCACCTGCACACAGCAGAGTCTGACAAAACATTGGTGAGTGAGTGATTAAAATTGACTGTGGTCTTAGGTGTTTCATTTTCAGGTATGTTCCTGTGATACAAACATTGCAGTTTAGTGACATAATTTGTTTTGTTCTTACATAAAATCAGACGGTATAGATAGAGAATACAAAGTGAACAAACTTTTTTGGCCCTTAAAGCTTTGGTGATAGTGAAGGCGAATGTTTGGATTCTCTTTAATTTTTTTTACAGTTTATGCATCATTTTTACTTCTCCCAAAAGTTCATTTAAAATTCTTGTATTTTAAAGGTAAGTAGATTTGACACTGTGACTTTTATTTTCGTTGTATTATATATGCAGTCAGACCAATGAATTTATTCTCTGTTTATATCAGAGAACATTCCAGCAATTGTAAAGCCACATGCATGCACGCGTGCACTCTCGAACCACATCCAGTGGCAAGTTATTATGGGGACTGACAGACTGTCATCCTTTTGATGGCTTGAGCTGTATATCTCCTGCACAGCAATGGGGCTCTTATGCAGAAAGTATCATATGTTCCCAGCCAATTTACAGGGAAACAGCAATAACATTTTATCATGGTTGAGAGCCCAGTAGCTGCTTCCTATTAAACTTGCCCTTTCAGATACCTGTCTTGGATTAATTTGTTGATTTCAAATGGAAACTCAGTCTTCTCCAGTGAAGCATGACGTTCTAGGATAGACTCTCTGAATGACAATTACTGTGTATTCTAGCTAGTTGCAGACCATTACAAGCCTTGGGCGCAGTGGAAGACAGAGGACTTCAGTAACTGATTTTAATATCATGTCTAATTTTAACTGTCAGTTATGTATGTGCCAGGGAAAGAATTCTCAGAAAGATAAAATGCAAAACACTTCTAACTTGCTCTTTTTAATGATGCACTTTGCTGCTGGGGTGTGGGGAGGAAAAGCAGGGAGGGAGTAGCCATCTCCTGAAGGGAATCAGCAAGGTGGGGAAACATCAGATTTGAAGAGTGAGCTGGGTACAACTGCCACCCGACGTTTTGTGTGTGCTCCTCAGGATGCTTCTTAATAGTAATATGTTCACCAAAAAGGGTTTCCATAAATCAGTGCCAGTAGTTTTCTTTAAACATTCAAGAAAAATGTAGGGTTTTACAAAGTTGGGGTAGTAAGCTTTGCTTACCATTTTGGTGAGTATTACAGAATGTGAATTGCCTTTGCAGGGAAGACTCTTGTGAGGTACTGCTGAGTATAACCTGGTAGATTATGAAGAGGGGAGTAACTCTGCTTTCAATGTGATGAACCCTCTTAAAAGAAAAGCTAAATTAGGAAGCCCCTAAATTACATTTCAAATGTAGAGGAAAAGCAGTGTTTTGTAGTTTTTAAAAATATTCCCCCCTGTATTGAGCACATTAGAGATATATACATTCTTGAACATTTGTGCTTAGAGAACGTATTTGCAGTTACAGCAAATTAACTAGTTGTTAATTTGTGATTTTACTTTTCACAGTCATTCCCTAAACACATTGGCTTTATCTTTTCTTAAGTCAGGTGCCACAACAGCATACTGATAGCCTGGTTTTATTTAAAGGGGAAAGAAATCATCAGTAGCAGACTACACATACAACAAACTTGGATCTTTATAAAAGAATGAATGAAACTGTTGAGTTTCTCTCTGGCAATCTGCAGTTGAACAGAATGTATGATAGCTGATTTAGATTGAATCTTCTGGTATTTGCTATAATCCTCAGTAAAAACCCATCATTGTAACAGGAGCCACTATATGAATTCAGATACGTGGCATGCCACATAGCATTTCGTGAACCTCATCTAACCCCTTTAAAGCCTGATTAGAGAACAGTTGTGTTACGTGGTAATTCTACACATATCCTTGGCTGTTAGCCCTATCACCCTGCTCTAGCATCAGAAAAATGTTTTACTGGTTATGATATTCAGATTTTGAAATAAACAGACATATATTTTGAACACACGAAGTAAACAAGAAATTAACAGTGCCAAAATGCACAATTTGTTTAACATTTACATGTCTCTTTTCAATCTATTTTTATTTTCTGGAAGAGGTTGTTTTTAAGAAAAAGCAGAAAGCTTTTATGACAATTGTTTTATAAAGGCTCTTTGTGTGAAGGAAAGCAATAAATTACTGGGTGTAAAGTTTTATTTGAAACTAGATTCAGTGATACTTAGCAAAACTGTGCTTCCCAAACTGCATTAGGACCTTAGAATCAAAGTAATAGAGCATTTTGATTCTATTTTTTCCTAGGTTCCATGCTGAACAGCCGTTTATGCCATTGGCCCAGTGATAGAACAAATGATGTTTCCGCTTGGGCAACCTTTGTTTTATCAGGATCAGTAACCTTATCAGCAGTTGACCCAGAACTATAATGCATGTCTCTGAGTAGATAGCATATGTCACAACTCGGCACAGACTTGCTTCATAAGCAAGCTTGTCTAATGAAGATTTAATAAATAAGGAAAAGTTTGCAGCAAGAAATGTCTTTTATAACGATAACTTCTCGTAAGCTTATTTTTTGCTCGTGGCTCATCTCGTGCATTTATTCTCATAAAAGCTAAAGGAATAAACATACATATAAATGTATCCACACAGACTCCCATGATGCATCATTTATATGTCAGTATTTCTTTCTGAAATATATCATTTGTGAGTAAAGAATGTAGAATTTAGATTATCATATTTGTTTAAGGTTCTTGTGTGACACATAAATGCAGTAATGTCCAAAAGACTAGAAAACCCATGTGTGTGATAAACTGACAATGCTTTTATGCGATTTTGTATTATTTCTTCTTAATAGTAGGATAGTACAGAAGGTTTTCTCTAAATGCAAAATGTCCTGGCTCAGAAGTGATTTTGTTTAATCAGTAGATTTTAATACTCTGTAATTCAGGATTGAATTCCTCATTCCCATATCCATCTGCTTTGATTTTAGAAGACATAATAAATGGAATGATAAACGGAGAGAGATGGAGCATCCTCATATGTAAATAAGTCATGCATGACTTTTACATTTTGATGTTAACGCTTCTTTTCTTTGGCCTTTGACAGGTTAGGGCTTGACCCAAAACTATTGGCTAAAATTCTAAATATGAGCTCAGGACGATGTTGGTCAAGTGACACTTATAATCCTGTACCTGGGGTGATGGATGGAGTTCCCTCGGCTAATAATTATCAGGGTGGATTTGGAACAACGCTCATGGCTAAGGTATGGTACATGCAGAAACTAACTAAGAGAAAGGGAAAAAATGTTAATGGTCTAATCTCTCTCTCTCTCTCTCTCTTCTTTGGACAAAGCATATACCTATCCTAAAAGGCAAAATTACAAGAATAGTGATTCACTCTCTCACTGGAAAAGAATAAAAACTTAGATAAAAAACCTTATCTTGTTTATTTTAATTCCTGGCCTTTTGGATGGGAAGGATGAGCCAGGATTTTTCTTTTGTGCTTAGGCTTATTTATAGTATGAGCTGGTAAGTAAAATTTTCATAAATTTATGTTAATTTACCCATTCTTTAGAATGGGAGCAGTAAGAATTTTCTGATTATTAATAATGCACTACCATTGCATATATACATCATAAAAGAAGAGAGGATCTTTCCCATGATACTAGATTTCCAAATACATCTTCCTGCTTTTACAGTATATATGAATTTATGTGTAAATTAAGTCATTTGAAAAGCAAATTGTTGGCCTTCTCTCATTTGTGATCTCAACTTTAGAAAATCTGTGATCTTAACTGTAGAAAATATGTTTTAGACCAACAGACTTTCAGTTTTCTGCATAGGGTTTATTTCCCATTAATAGACTTTTTCTTCCCTTGACTACAAAAGTAATAATACGTACACCAATATACCGTTCTTGGCTTATTCTGTCTTATTCCCCACAGCGGCAGCCATTCTGCTTCTTGAGTATGGCTTGAATTCATTCAGTTCCTTCCTCCCCAACTGCCAGTACCTTGGCTGAGCCTTGCTTATGTTATATCACAAGAGCCCTTCGCTGGTCACCTTGCCTTTCATCCTGATCTTCTCCAATTCATTTTCCACAACATAGCAAATGTGGGCTTTCTAGTAAAAAAAAAAAAAACCTATATGTCACTTCTCCTATTAAGTTTCTCTAATAGTTTCCAGTTACTTTTAGTTTAAAGTCCATCTCTGCACCCTGTCTTACAAGGCCCTGGATGATTTGGCCTTTGCTTGCCTCGCCGGACTCCCTTTTGCTTTCCCACACCCCTCTCTTTGCTTCAGCTGTGCTGAACTCATTTCTGTCTCTTTTTCTCTCTCACATACAAACCTTCATGTTTTCTGTCCCCTCTCCCAGAATCATTCTTTCTTGCCCACCATCCCCATGCTTTTGCCTCTCTGACACCTGCTCATCTTTTATATCAGTGCTTAGCCATCTCTTACTCTGAAAGGCCTGCACCCAGCACCCCAGACTGTGCCTTCCTGGCTCCTTTGAGACTACCTCTGTCAAATTACATGCATGCTGGGCCGGCCCCGTGGCTCACTTAGGAGAGTGTGGCGCTGGGAGCGCAGTGGTGCTCCCACCACGGGTTTGGATACTATATAGGGATGGCCAGTGCGCTCACTGGCTGAGCGCGGTGCAGACGACACCAAGCCAAGGGTTGCAGTCCCCTTAGCGGTCACAAAAAAGAAAAAAAAAAATTACATGCATGCTTGTTTAAGTGTCTTTCTTCCTCAGTAGGCTATGAGTTTGGGTGGGCTACAGGTGTCTTGGTCTTCATTGTATATAGCTTCTGGCACATTGTCAGCACACTTTAAATATTTATTAGATGAAATGATGTTTAAAACAATGTTTTCAATTTTGCAATTTTTCTCTTGTTTCATTGAAGAAAATGTTTTTATTTTATGTCGATCTTACTTTCACAAATTTGAAAAACGATTTCCCTGTGTAATCCGATCCGTGTAATAATGCCTATTCAAAAACAAAATAAAACAAAGGTTGTGTGGTGGGTGGGGGAGTGGGGGAGACACTTAGAAATCAAGTTTGCTGTCTGGAACAGTTTTGCAGATATATGAAAGCACTTCTAAAAGAATATAACTTGCCATAGTGCTTACAAGTGTCTTATTTTTTCAGACTTCATTTTTTCTTCTTTGAAACTAAAGCATTAGGAACCACAGTGCCAAAGTGAGCCTTTACTACCCATCTCAATGTGTTCCTTCCTGCCCTTGTTTGATTTAGGATCTGGGATTGGCACAAGACTCTGCTACCAGCACAAAGAGCCCAATCCTTCTGGGCAGTCTGGCCCATCAGATCTACAGGATGATGTGTGCAAAGGGTTACTCAAAGAAAGACTTCTCATCCGTGTTCCAGTTTCTACGAGAGGAGGAGACCTTCTGAATGTGCCTTTTGGCTGTGGACACTGTTGGGAACTAAACTCTGTCTTGGAGCCTCCTTCTAGCTCACTCTACCAGTAAATGGTTTTAATCAAAGGTCATCTGTCTGCTTTTGATTGTCTAGGTCACAGTAATTCTTAGGATTTTCCATCCATTTTTAACTGCTTTTTTCCCATCTGTTCAGCAAACATGTATTATCTGAAAAATTTTTTTTTCCTGCAAGCGCCTGATGATCTCTGTTAACTAGCTGAGTTGACCTTTTCAAAAAGTTTGATCCCTGAGCATCTTCCACTAAATTGTTGAAGAAATACTTCAATCAGGTTATTATTTGCTTCACTTTACAAATAAAACCAAATATTTTGTAAACAGAGTGAAACCCATCTTAAAGGAAAGAAAAGAAATGGGTGTGAGGAGAGGAGTTCGAGAAAGGAAGTATAGTGAATTTACCTATGTCCCTCAGGAAGTTTGTCCTGGTATTCTTGCATTACTGAGGTTACCGACTTATTTTCCAGGGAGTTGATGAAACAAGAGAATTTGTTACTGCACATTTTATAATTTGGACTCAGTTACAGTTTTGTAGCATGTCCCTCTTATTCCAACTCCCAGTATTCAGCAGACCTGTTTTTGTATTTTTTGCTTCTTTGTACATTCTTACCACTTATTTTTGACTTCAAAAGAATGACATGTTTAGACCCGTTTTAGAGCCAATGATGATATTTGCTTTAGATAATTATTACATTATTCTAAATATAGCCATATTATTTTGAATTCAAATAAATTTCTATGCTGATAATACTTACTTGGAGTTTTTGTTTCTTCCCAATCATTTGGTGAACAAATGAATGATCCGATAAACAGGTGTTACACACTTAGTGGGGAAAGGATGGGAAGAAAGGGAAAAGAGGGGAGGTCAAAAGGAACAGAACTCTGACTTGGCTGGTGGCAAGCCAGCCTTCTGCTGCTGTACCTGCATCTGTAATGGACATTTGCTTGCATGTTTTCTAGGTCATCAGTGCCAAGGAATTCAGCCTGCATTAAGTCTAACGTGCTCCAGTATGGAGCACACGCACCACTTTTCCCACCTCAACCTCTAGAAACATTCCAGGTGACTTACCTACACAATGAATTTGGCAGAAGTACTACTACTTCCATTATTTTCCTGGTTTTGAAAATTCCAGGCACTATTATATGTGCTGGGGATACAGTGATGAACAAGACAGACAAAGTTTCTGCCCTTATGGGGCATAAATTCTGGTGTCTTGGGTGTGTGTGTGTGAGAAAGCGAGGTGGATGTGACAAATAAGAAATAAATATGTAATGTAGATGTCAGGTAATAATAAGGACTAAAAAGAAAAATAAGTCAGGCTAGGGGGATGGATAGAGACATTCATTAGGGAGGTGAGGGAAGTTCTCTCTGATGAGGCAGCATTTGAGCAGAGATAAGAAAGAAGTAAGGTGCAAGCCATTCAGGTGTCTGAAGAAAGAACATTGCAGGCACAGGGAACAGAGGGCACAAAAGAACCACATAGGACAGTGCTGGATGTGGTAGTAACAGGTGAAATGGTCTGGGATGAGGGGAACCCAATCACGTAGAACCCTGTAGGCTGTGCTAACACACTGGCTTGTATTTGGGGTGAAATGGCATGTGTCAGTTAGCTTTTGCTGGGTAACAGACTACCCCAAAATTTAGTGGCTTAAACATTATTTTCCAAGATTCTCTAGGTTAGCTAAATTATTCTTCTGGACTGGGCCAGCTTGTCTGGAGCTGGAGGGTCTAGTTTGGCCTTACTTAGCTGGGACAGCTGGAAGGGTTGGAGCTTCTCTCCACATGGTTGGTCACTCATCCCCCAGGAGTTTGCTCACATGGTGGCAGAAGTATTCCTAGCAGCAGCATAGGACAAGCCCCAGTGAACAAGCACTTTTCAAGCCCCCGCTTGCTTCATGTTTGTACTGTCCCCTTGGCCAAAGCAAGTCACATAGCCAAGCCCAGAGTCAATGTTGAAGGAGACTACGTAAGAGTGTAGACACAGAGGGGCATTATGGTGTCCTTTTTGGAGACAATATCACAGCCAGCCTGTAAGGATTTTGTTCAGAGGAGTGATGTGATCTGACCTACTTTTTAAAGGGTTCACTCGATGCTGTGGGGATAACAGGCTATAGGGGCAAGGGTGGAAGCAAGGGGAGGCAGTTCGGAGGCGAGAGTAATGATGCAGCTGAGAGATGGTGGTGGCTGGGATCAGAATGTTGTAACAATGCAGGAGGCAAGAAGTGGTCAGGTGAGTGATGCACGGGGTGAGAGGAAGGAAGGAGTCAAGGATGACTTCAACGTTGGTGGCCTGAAAGGGGGAGAAAGGAGATGCCATTTACTGTGGGGAGAATATTTGGGGAGGATTGTAGGAGGTTTAGGAGGAAAAAAGAGGAGTTTATTTGAGATGCCTAATAGACATCAAAGTAGCAAATAACAACGGTCTAAGGACCGCACCGTGTGTTACTTGAACTTTTAGTGGTTGGGAAAATGAGGCAGAACAAACAAATGAGACTGAGGAGGAGTGACCTATGAAGTAGGGAAAACGGAAGCAGGGTCCTGGGAGCCAAATGAAAGCAGTGTTTTAAGGAGGGGATGATTATCTGAATCAAAAGGTACTAATAAATTGAGTCATAGAAGGGCTGAGAATTCATCATTTTGATTTGGCAAAATAGAGGTCATTGGTGACTTTTTCAAGAGTTTTGCCAGAGTGTTGGAAATGACCGCCTGATTGAGAAAGAATGAGACGAGAGGAATTGGAAATGGGTATGAAGACAACTCGAGTGGTTTTGCTGCAAAGGGAAACAGACCAATGAGATGGACACTGGCAGGGAATATGGGGCCAAAAGGTGTTTCATTATATTTTAAAGATAGGAAATATGGGATTATACTGATGGAAGTGGAATGATCCAATAAAAAGAGGAAAAGTTGGGTCGGCCGGGTGGCGCACTCGGTAGAGTGCGGCGCTTGGGAGCGTGGCAGCGCTCCCACCGAGGGTTCAGATCCCATATAGAGACCGGTCCGCTCACTGGCTGAGCGCGGCACGGGCGCGACACTGAGGGTTGCGATCCCGTTACCGGTCACGAAAAAAGACAAAAAGGAAAAAAAAAAAGAGGAAAAGTAATGATGCGAGAGAGAGGACACTCACTAAGTGATATCTCTGAGTTAGTTGAGAGGGGAGGGGTTTAAGTGTGGATGGATCTCTGCAAATTAAAACACCAGCAAAAACAGGTCACTTGTCATGTTTCCAGGATCTTACATATTGGATAGGATAGAATTGTAATTAATTACACAGTTTTCAACATAGAATAAGTATTAGTGCTGGAAAGGACTTTACCGACCTCTGGGTGTAACT